GCATCCAAAATAAAAGTTTTTGTTTACATAATATATGTGTGTGTACTGTGTATATTTATTATGTATATATAAATAAACACACATACAGTATATATTTTGAAAATATTTACATGTATATATTTATATTTATATAAATTATATCATATATAAATATATTTAATATATAAACGTAACATATTTTTCTTAAATATATACATGCATATGTGTGTGTATATATATATATATATATACATAATAAATATACACAGCACACACACATATATTATGTAAACAAAAACTTATTTTGGATGCGATTAATCGTTTGACAGCACACGGTTTTTTTTTATATAGTAAAAACAAACAAGCAAGCCCTGCCCAGATATAAAAAGTAACTCAATGCATTACTTTCCATAAAAAGTAACTAAGTAGCATAATTAGTTATTTTTTTTTAGGGAGTAAAGCAATATACTAATGCAATTACTTTAAAAAGTAACTTTCCCCAACACTGATGACAGGGTGTTTAGTGTTACCTTTTTGTCACAGCATTTCCTGAGTCTGGATCTGGTCGGCGGTGTGCACAGCGCCACCTTGCTGCACACTCATGAAACGGACACGCGAGCCACCATGTGCATGTCTCTGGGTGGGGACGTGATCGCCTCGGGACAGGACGCCAACTGCAGCTTGATGAGGTTCAGTCACCTTACGGCCAAACAGGCGAAGAAACCTGCAGCCAAAGATGGTCAGTAGAGGCTAAATGAAAACATTGGTCATGCATACCCATTTTCATGTCATCTTTTCCTGTGACACCTGTCAATAGGGGCTGGAGATAAAGGTGCAGCCAGGAAGAGAGGCAGGAAAGGCCAGAACGGAGATGGAGGAGGAGGAGACGTGGCCCAGACGAAGGAGGATTCTCCTCAGATGTTGGTGGAGGATGTTGGAGTGGTGCAGGCCGACCTCAGCCCGCAGGACCCCTGCGTGAAGTGTGTGCGCTTCAGCGCCGACCTCACGCTTCTGCTGAGCGGCGGGGCCGACGGTTACGTCAGAGTGTGGGAGGTGAGCGTCTCCCATGAGTCTGTGTAGTTTTTATCAGCACTGTCCTTGTCTCAACTCGCTTCGTCTCTCTCCAGTTCCCCTCTTTGAAAGAGAAGTTCAGCTTCAGAGCTCACAAAGATGAGCTGGAGGATATAGACATCAGTCCTGATAACAAGGTGTGTTTTGTGAAGATTTGTTCTAGTTATTAAGAACTGAGAAAAAGCAACTAAGCAGTTAAGAACCGCTTCTCTATTGTGCATTTTACGCTGGTTCATCCAAGTAGTGCTGTGTTCTCTTTCTCGATGTAGCACATTGTAACAGTTGGCCGTGATTTCGAGTGCAGCGTGTGGAGCGGCGATCAGCTGGCCGTGGGTTTGTGTTGGCATGAAAACATGCCTCAGATCACAGAGAAGATGTACCGCTACAAGTCATGCAGGCAAGTTGTGCACTTCCTGACAGCTGCCACTTTTCATAAATAGGCTAAAAGATAGTGTATAAGTCATTTTTTGTCTTTTTTTTTCTGATGTCAATTTTTTCAACAGAGGCTCAGGGAACGGATGTGTTGTCTGCCAACCTTTGGACTTATTGTTGTCTTTAAATTTTACATTTATTTTACATTCTTGATATGTTATTGTATATTTAAACTACTATTCAAAAGTCTGGGGTCAGTAAGATTTTTAAATGTTTATTAAAGAATTCTCTTCTGCTCACCAAGGCTGCATTTATTTAATCAAAAATACTATAAAAACAGTAATATTGTGCAATATTATTACAATTCTAAATAAATGTTTTCTATGTGAATAATTTTCCAGTCTTCAGTGTCACATGATCTTCAGAAATCAGTCTAATATGTTGATTTGCTGCTCAAGAAACATTTCCGATTATTATTAATGTTGAAAAACAGTCGTGCTGCTTCGTATTTTTGTGGAATTCATGATATATTTAGTTTTTCAGCATTATTTGATGAATAGAAAGTACAAAAGAACAGCATTTCATTTGAAATGGTTGTATTTTAATTTCAGTCCATCTATTAACACCTCGTGAGAGAAAAGCTGTGTAGCAAATTTGTCATTACTGCGTTGTGACTTCAAACTGTCGCTCCTGGCTAAATACAAGTCCATAATCCCTAATAACGTTTCCTCCAGTGAAAGAGTCATCTTGTCTGAATCAGGAGAGAAATCTGCACAGATCAAGCACTGTTTACAAGCCAAAACTGTAAAAAAACACAGCTCTAAATAAATAATAATAGATTTTGATGTTTGAGGACAACAGGAGATGGACACTGGAGGAAAGCACTTGACGGAAGCGACAGTTTAAAGTTAAAACGTCTTAATGATGGATTTGTTTCTTGCAAACACACAGCTTTTGTCTTCTCCAGATGTTAGCTGATGGACTGGAGTCGTGTGGGTTACTACTGATGTTTTTACCAGCTGTTTGGACTCTCATTCTGACGGCACCCATTCACTGCAGAGGATTATTATCTAACAAATCTAATAGTTAAGAAACTTGTGCTTTGCATCACTATAGCTGTACATAAATAATGAGACACCAAAGTCACTAATGGTTGGTCATTATTTTCTTGCTCAAAACCAGGTTTGCAAAATTAGAGGACCAGAAAGATGCTTTAAGACTCTATACAGTCCAAATCCCCCACAAACGGGACCGCAAACCCCCTCCGTGCTACATCACCAAATGGGACGGACGGGTTTTCCTGCCGCTGCTCACGAAGCCTTGTGGGAATGAAGTTATATGTTGTCTTGCAGTGAGGTAGAGGGAATCTGTCTGCATCTTTCATGCATTATTCATTGTTATGGTGAATCATCACGTGCTTCTGTGTTATTCCTCAGTGACTCTGGAACATTTCTTGGTCTTGGAACGGTGACGGGATCCGTGGCCATCTATATAGCATTTTCCCTGCAGGTACAAACAGCATAATCACTAATCAGCTACTTAGTCAAAACCTATTCAGCTGCTTTGTAGGTTTAGCGTTTAAAAAAATTCTAGTTCTATTTATGTGTAATTATAACACAAGTATTTGTACTTGTCGTGTGTGAAAGTTGTTAGCAGTATAGGCTAAATACTATCACTTGGATGCTGACTTAAAAGGTAGCTGCTTATGTAGTCAGTAAGAAAAGGCAGCTCACTAGATCTTGAAACCTACTGACCGTCTCTTCTGATCGACCCTCCAGAAATTGTACTACATCCAGGAGTCTCACGGCATTGTGGTCACGGACCTGACGTTCCTACCTGACGCTCCTAAAAGTAAAGCCGTGAAGGGGAATAATGAAGTGGTCATGTTGAGCGTAGCCGTCGACAGCCGCTGTCAGGTGCATGCCGTCTCCAACCGGAGTAAGTATGATGCGATCAGATATATGTATTCATACATGGCCAACTTCATCTGCATACATGAAGACAACAAACTGTATGAAATTAACCCTAATGTGGATCAAATTCCCATCTGTATTTTAATAATCACTGGGATCAGATCATATACACAAGATGCCAAATAGGACATTTCGAACTCACACACAAGTAACTAAAACACCAACAAACCACGTAAAGCAATGTATACTATATGTGAGCCTGCAGCACAAAAGCAGTGTTAAGTCGCTGGGGGATATTTGTAGCAATAGCCAAAAATACATTGTATGGGTCACAATGATTGATTTTTCTTTTATGCCAAAAATCATTAGGATATTAAGTAAAGATCATGTTCCATGAAGATATTTAGTAAATATATCAAAACTTAATTTTTGATTAGTTATATGCATTGCTAAGAACTTCATTTGGACAACTTTAAAGGCTATTTTCTCAATATTTAGATTTTTTGCACCCTCAGATTCCAGATTTTCAAATAGTTGTATCTCAACCAAATACTGTCCTATCCTAACAAACCACACATCAATGGAAAGCATATTAATTCAGATGATGCATACATCTCAATTTCGAGAAATTGACCCTTATGACTGGTTTTGTGGTCCAGGGTCACATATTGCAAATCTCAACTGCCTGATTGTTTATTTTGTCGCAAAATGTAACTATATTATTGCTCAGCTCTCTCTATATATATATATAAAGTTGGATATACGTACATGTGTGTCCCACATTATCCTCATAAATAAAGTAAATTAGCATAAAGCAATATATACCATATAGTAAATCGTATTGCTTGTAATGTTGCAAAATATAAGCACTTAGCTCTAATCTGCTAATTGTGACTACAAGGCATAAAGATAGTAAGGTATTATAAACATTAACGCAATGTTGAGACAATGTGCATTGTGAAAAGTGCTATGCAAATAAATTGATCTCAACTTTTAAATTCACTTTTTAATTTTATTTTACACCGCGCCCAGAAATACTTGATTCTGATTGGTCAATCAAGCCCTTAATGTTTTATATGACATTAAATTGTGTTGTTCCGGTGCTAATTACATGTCTTTTTTAACTGTTGTTTTTGTGCACTGTAAATTGCGAATGCTGTTATATTTCTATTTCAGGGTCATTCCCGCTGTGGCTGGTGCTGTTCTTCTGCGGTCTGATGGTGGTTGGAGTGATTCTGCTCCTGCAGTCTCTCTTCCCAGCATTCATTTAGTGTATAGCGTATCCATTCTCACCATCACCTAAACCTGACATTTTATATACTTAAAAAATGACTTGAAAACATACCTGGATCGATGAAATAGTTCGAAATAATAATGGGAATGACGGTGTTTAGCATCATGTTTTTAACTGAAGTATCATCTCTGGAGTGTGAATTTGAGCTCTGAATTCTTATGAATCAGATCAGATGAAGAATTTGGGCATGACCTGAAGATCCTGAACTGATCTTTCTCCTCATCAGTGAGAGAAATGTTTCAGGATCATTGAAAAGCAGGTTGGAAACAGGACTGGATTTCCTGACTGCTCCACCAGCATGAAATGCCTTTTAATGGAGAACTATATATGCAGGGGATTTCAACAGTGAATGCTTTTAAATATTTAAAACCATGTAAAAATATAAATATACATCTGAACAACATTTGCTGTTGCCACGTCTGTCCAGTTATTTATGTTTTGATCGGCATGCACCACAACATTCATTGAGTTTCCTCCAAACTAACAGTCCTCATATGTAAGTCGCATCCCATTGTACGTGCACAATCCAAGATATTTCAGAGTAAAATCTGATATTTCGGGAGAAAGCAGTAGGATGGGATTGAATTGAATCCATTGGAAATTGATTGGATTGTGAAACATGGGTGTTATGTCATGCAAAAGGAAAAGTACTTTCAGAAACGGTGCAAAAAATTACAGAGCCAAACTTTTTTTTTTTGGAAGAAAATGCAATAATGAATCACCCAAATAGTCCAATTTGAAGTGACTGGTGTTTTCATGCACTCCACTAGGGGACGCCATTGCGTTGCGTTTATTTGACCAGCTGCTCTCAGATCCAGAGTGAGCAGTGAGCAGTGAGCCAACATCATCATTGATTATTGTACAAAAATAAACACACACACATATACAGTACTGTTAAAAGTTTGTCTGTCCCAGTTTTTCTGTTTCTTCATGTCATTCCAGACAGACTGGATATAATAAAACCATTATGTCATAAAGTCATGTCATATATAAATCATGACTTTATACTGTTTTATTAACACATTTAAGTAGACTTAAAAAAAGTGTATACACTTTTCACAAACGTGTTTTTTTTTTGTCAGTCAAACCTCTTTGCCCTAAAACATTTTGAAGTTTTTAGCCTAGTATTTATTTTTCATTTTTATAATGTAATTAAAGGGGTCATATGATGCTATTTTAAAGATCATTATTTTGTGTATTTGGTGTAACAGAATATGTTGACATGCTTTAATGTTCAAAATTATTATATTTTACAACCCACCTCCAAGTATGACTCTGCCACCCTGTGTTATTTTAGTGTCATTGTGATTAATATATATTTTTATAAATATACATTTTCCATTTTCATTTAAATTTTAGCTAAAGTTTAATAATTTTGTAGTGTATTTTTGTAGTTTATACGGTATACAATTTATATTTGTTTTTTTTAGTTATTTTAGAGCATAAAGTTAAACTAAATTAAAATGAGAAATGTTACTTTGGCAAGCTGAGAAAGTTTTTTATATATATTTTATTTAATTTCAGTTAATATTTGTTTTATTTTAAGTAAATATATTTTATGATTATATGATTTACTATATTAACCCTGTCTATAAATCTATGTTTTTGGAAGTTTCTTTGACAGCAATTTTGTTCGTATATCACCAGCCTTTCACAAACACAGATACTTAATATCGAATGTAAAACATTTGGAACTGAAACAAAAAGAAAGAAAACAAACAACTACACAACAAACGAAGGTAAAAGAGACGGTAGAAACGAGAAGCGAGTCAGCACACAGACATTTCAATAACGCTGAGTAAACAGATGCATCTTTATTTGAGTAGAAGTTGGGAAGAGATTAAATTTCACAGCGGATGTTGAGAGACTGGATTCCGGGATGAGCTTGAGAAGCAGAGAGGAATGCACTGGAGGAGGGTGAGTAGCCTACATTTCCAGCCAATTTTAATTTTTGTTTAACTATTTTTTTGAACAGCGGTAATTAGTGTAAATCAGCGACTACAGAGCTTTTATACAATAACTCTTCTGTTCAAGTAAAACAACAAGCCCAACTCTTTTTTTTCTTTTTCTCTCTCATCCTTGTGGACTGCAGACTATTTTAAAGGGGTCATATGATGCGATTTCAATTGTTCCTTTCTCTTTGGAGTGTTACAAGCTCTTGGTGCATAAAGAAGATCTGTAAAGTTGCAAAGACTAAAGTCTCAAATCCAAAGAGATATTCTTTATAAAAGTTAAGAGTCAGCCATGCCTACCTAAAACGGCTCGTTCTAACACGCCCCCACATGTCTACATCACTATGTGGGAAGATTTGCATAACATTATACAAATTTGTGTCCTCATAAACCACATAAACATGCACACACACATATGTGTGTGTATGTATGCATGAAATATGATTTAGTTAAATATTAAAAATTTATTTTATATGTATATTCAGTTTTTATTTTAATTACAATTGTAGTAATATGTGCTTTTGGCATTTAATTTATTTATATACTATTATAGTATTTGTAAAATTTTTTGAGGTAGCTTTTATTTTCATTTTTGTAGTTTTTATCTTAATTTTTGTTTTAGCAATTTTGTTATGTGCTTTTGTAATTTTATATAAAAATGTAATTTTTATTACATTTATTTTTAGCTTTAGTTTTATTTGATTTCAGTTCCACCAAGACAACATTTAGAATTTTCATTTTTTTTTTTCATCTAATATTTGTATCTGATTTTGTTTCTGCTTAATTTGTCATTAACAAAAACCATTTTTAATAGTTTTAGTTAATGATAAACCTGCTTGGATTTGTAGAGTAGAACCTCCAGATGACGCTGTTCACCAGCGCTGTGCGCTCCGGCTGTATTGTTGACCTAACCTATATTTCCCAAGAGCAGCACAACAATCTTCCCACACACTAGAGCAGCGCTGAGGCTCGTCTCCAGTCTCTCACACTGCTGTCCGATCTCACGGAAAACCAACGTCTGGCACGCGGAAAAGAGCGAAAGCAGAATTATGTGCTTTTGTAATTTTATATAAAAATGTAATTTTTTATTAATTTTTTTTTTGCTTTTGTTTTTTTTTATTTTAGTTTCCCCCAAACAAAATTTAGAATTTTCATTTTTTTTTTTTCATCTAATATTTGTATCTGATTTTGTTTCTGCTTAATTTGTCATTAACAAAAACCATTTTTAATAGTTTTAGTTAATGATAAACCTGCTTGGATTTGTAGAGTAGAACCTCCAGATGACGCTGTTCACCAGCGCTGTGCGCTCCGGCTGTATTGTTGACCTAACCTATATTTCCCAAGAGCAGCACAACAATCTTCCCACACACTAGAGCAGCGCTGAGGCTCGTCTCCAGTCTCTCACACTGCTGTCCGATCTCACGGAAAACCAACGTCTGGCACGCGGAAAAGAGCGAAAGCAGAAGCCAGTGTGTGCAGAAGCGCCGAGGCATCCGTCAAACGGACAACACGATGTGGTAAAAGGTTGGCGGCTTGTGTTTGTCTAGGCCTTTGGAAATGTCCTCCTGCAGGCCACACTGAGGGATTGAGCCGCTCTCTAAACACACCCTCAGCAGTGGGCAGGGAACACAACACCCTCCTCGCACCCACGCCCGAGAGCCGGCAGGAAATGAAGGGCCAGACAGAGCAACGTCTCGGACGCTGCAGGAACAAACAGCATTCCTCTTTCCCTCGCTCAGCCTGTTCAGGGAGTCTGGGTTTATTTCCAACATCATGAAATCCCAAAGATTTGAGTGACTAATTCATCCACTATTTTTATCTCTTTGCTTAATGTCAGTTTATGCCACGAGATGAACAGCTGTAGCTCTGTTCAAGCCTGCTGACAATGCCTTGATCTCTCTAACATATTGAGGGATTGACATCATTGAAGTCTTTTTGACCACATGGTTCAAATAGAATTTTGATTGGTTACACTTTATTTTAGGGTGTCCTTGTTACAGTGGACACCCTGTACATTTAAGGACTGTGTAATATTAATTACCTACATGTACTTAGGGTTAGGGTTAGGCTTAGTGTTACTTGCATGTAATTATGCATAATTAATTGTTATTATCATAGTAAGTACATGTAGCATGTGTAACAAGGACACCTTAAAATAAAGTGTTCGCTTTGATTCTCTTACATATTTTATATATGTAAAGTGGATGCTGCACACTGGTGGTGATTGAGGAGAGACCCCCTCATGATTGTAAAGTGCTTGGGTGTACAACAATACACAATAAAGCGCTATATAAATGCATCATTCATTCATTTATCAGTATTTCATGAAGCTCTATATTTCAAATCTGTTTTATTTATTTTTATTTTGTAACAATGTAAAAATAATGTTTGTAGTTTGTTTTAAAGTGTGTACTTACCCCAAAGTGTACTAACATAAGGGTTATTACAGAGTTATTACTATAGTAAGTACACAGTAATTATGTGCATGCAGAACAGGACTGTAAAATTAAATGCTACTAAAATATTAAATGTGATGTGATTATATTATGGTGTTTTGTGGTGTAATATTTAGTTTACTGAAAGGTTTTGTTAAAGTTAAGACTATTACGAACAATTTTTAAAATAATCTTGAACTCCGTAACTTTCAACCTTGAAATGTTTTATATGTAATAAAATAAAATAAAAATGTACAAATCATATTTTTTAGAAAATGTTGTAAAATATATGACACTTACTATTTAGAAAGTGTTTATTTTGATTGTATTTATTTTAAAATTATTTAAATATTGTATTTATTTATTTGCTTTACAGATTCATTCTGTCCCGAATCTGGTCTATGAACCTCCGTTTGTTCACCACAAGAGGTCATTATCCACCACATGGACTCTCACACTACACGGACTGTCACACTCACCCTGGACTTCAGTTCCCACAATCTATTTCACTATGATTACACACACGGCTGCAGCCAATCACACACCCTACATAAGCCATGGACTTCCTCGCTCTCACTGCCGAGTATTGTTTAGCACAGGGGTGCCCAAACTCGGTCCTGGAGGGCCGGTGTCCTACAGAGTTTAGCTCCAGCTTGCCTCAACACACCTGCCTGGAAGTTTCTAGTATGCCTATAAGAGCTTGATTAGCTGCTTCAGGTGTGGTTGATTAGGGTTGGCGGTAAACTCTGCAGGACACCGGCCCTCCAGGACCGAGTTTGGGCAGCCCTGGTTTAGCACTTATCCCTCTTCCAGCGATAGCTACTTTACGGAGCCATTCCAAGTTTCTGAGTCTAGCCTTAGTCTTGTTCATAGTCTGTTTTCCCGTGTTTGTACCCTGTTTTCTAGTTTCGCCTGCTCTCTGCCTGCCCTGAACGATTTCGCCTGTCTGGATTTCCCCTCTCGTCTCACCCTGTTCGGATACTGGTTACCTCTCGCCTGGACTATTGCTTGTGTTTCAGATTACCCTTTTGGATTACCCTGTTTGGACATTGCTCACTGGAGATCGACCACGCCCGTTTACTGGACTACTCTTGTGTCTTGCCCACGTTATACCTGTTTGCCATTGTTTGACCCATGCCTGTTATATGACCACGTCTTGGAAATAAAGCCTTGCATATGGATCCGCATGTCTCTCGTCTCGTTCGCCCTGTTACACATTCATTCATTCATTCATGGTATGCGGACAATATTTTAATAATGAAATATTTTAAATGTAATAAATTTAATTCAAATATAAAATAATATTTTTTAGAAAAAGTGTGTATATATAATACAAAGTACAAATAATAATATTTATGAATTGTGTCATTGTTTCCAATATCAAATCATCAAATCAAAAGTCAGCGAAACAACCCAAGTTTGCTGTTCCTATTCAAATGTATAATAAAAATACAGTATGAATTCTAAAATTACTCTGAAAACACTGAAATACT